TTCAAGTTTGACTGATATTTCCAATTTAAATTCCCGCTGATCGTTAAATAAACATTCAGCGTAAGCAAACATTCGTGTTTGATTATTCGGCGTTTGATTATTCGCGTATGATTATTTAGTGCGTTTTTTTGATTTAAATACATTAACCGTCGGTGATTCGCTTGCTACGTTTTTCAGTACGCGCAAGAGAAAACGCCCACGTAGAACCAGCGAACCAGCGGGAAATAAGTAAACCGCGGAGTATAATTATGTAACGAGTCGAGCGCAGATCGAGACGCTCCTCATTAATTGTAAGCCATTTATTTTCCGCGGTATTCGATAATATACCGAAAACCACGAGAGGGAGGAAGACATATTTATTTTATATTGATATGTCCTACTTTATTATTTCGGAATTCTGTTAAAAAATTTGTGTATTAAATAATATTTGTGAGATTATATCGATTTGAAATTTAAAGCATTTTTATTTGATAACAAAATAATATTCGATGTACATAGTATCTTTTTATAGCTATTTGAGAGAGAGAGAGAGAGAGAGAGAGAGAGAGAGAGAGAGAGAGAGAAAGAGAGAGAAAGAGGAGAGAAATTCGATATGTTAAACTTGAATTGGTATATCCTTTGCACGCAGTTTTGTTATTATATTATTATATTAAAAACCGTAATACAGTGTTCTAAAGATAGAAAATTGTTCGGAAAATTGCAAAGAGAAAGAGCGATTTGATTTTACGGACTGTATAATTCGAAATTCGATCTGGAATTAAATTTCTATTATTTAAAAGCGAACGGAAGTTGATGTAATAAACTGAAACGTGTATAGGAAATTCGGTAATGAAAATTCAGTTATCAGACTATAGCTCAGGAAAATCAAATAAAAAGACCAATTTTGGTGCTCAATTTTCCCATCTTTGGATATTATTTGCAGTACACAGAATTACATTTTTTAGTATTTGTCGTCTTTTTATCCTATAATTTGTAAGTTATTTTAAAAAATGAACGGATTAAATAGGAGTAAGTTCATTTAATCGACTTCTCGCGAATCCCATTCCAATTAGGCAAGCATAAAATTAATATTTCGAATGGCTTCCGGTGCCATTTAAACGCGATACGTAATAATTGATCGCGATAACGATCGAACGTTGTGCAACATTGCGCCGATAAGTTAAGAAATAGTGTTTCCGCACTGGAAACATCAGAAACATTATACCGCGGGGCATATCGCGCACGAGAATCTGCCTTAATCCCAGTAATAATCGTGCGGCAAAAGCGAGCACCGCGAATGAGAAACGGTGGAAAGCGAGCCTAATGAGGACGATATGCAATTTATTGTACCGGCACGGCGAAGCTGTAACGTCGTGGCGCCGGACGATCCGCTGCCTGGTGGAAAAGAAATGAGACAGAGAAATAGATACAGGAAGTTAGGGATCGATAGAGATGCGTGTAGAAATGCTTATTTCGCTCCGAGATTAAAATTTGACTTTTCAGAAAAAACTAAATAGCTTGAGAGAGAGAGAGAGAGAGAAAGAGACATAAAAAGGGAGATAAAGAGAAAAGTGGGCAAGAAAAGAGCGAGAAAGAGATGAAAAAGAGAATTAAATGAGCGACGTTGTAAGTAATCGGAGGAAACGCGTGGTATATTATCACTGTAGTAATTGCTAGCTTATTATGGCTGTTGAGCCAACAAGAACATAGACTACGAGCGCGTCGATTAGCCTAACTGCGAATCGCTCTTGGCGGCAGTGCGCCTCGAGATGACTAATTTGTATAATCGGGATGCAATCATGATGAAAAAAAGGAAAATGTGCACGCGTACAAGCGCGACTTGGCGTTCGACTGAACACTGTATGCTGTATGTAGTCATTAAAATATTTACCTTATTTTGACGAGCTTCCACGAGCGACGTTTCTCATCAATCGATTAAATTAATTCGTGCTACTGCCATCGTGTTTACACCTGTAATAATCGATTATTGCATTCTTTTGTCTTCTATCTATATTTGAATTTTCTTGCTCTCAGTTTTCTTGCTATTTATTTTTTAAATGTATAAATATAGGTATATACTATATACGATTAATGTTCTATTTAATAATCTTGAAAATTTTTTCCTTTGAGAGTAATTTTATATTAAAATAATCATATATTATGCTACTTACGATAATAATCACAATTACTGTCTACTAAACCACTCGCCATAACTTTTTGAAAAATTTTTTGGAAAATAAAAGATTAAAAGTCAAGAAACAAAAACGAACAAAAACGACATGTTAACAAGCAGTGAAAGCATGCTAGGCTTATAACTCAATGAGATGTTAAATTAGTTTAATGTAAAAAGATTAAATTAGTAGAAGAAAGTCATTGATATTGACATAGGTCTTCTAAAGAGACACCTTCCTTATTTCTCGGAAAGTATTTTGTGCATTTTATTAATACTTAATAAAAACATGATCTGTTTAGATAATTAAGGAAGTAAAAACTGATAAATTATATATCTTTTTGTGCTTTGTTTCTACACAAAATTAGCTATAAACTAATTCTACAAATGCGAAAATAAAATTCCATTTTGTCAGACGCTCATTTTTGTTTATCGTACAGAAAGTTAATTATCGCAAAATTGCAAATAATATTATAAAAACTGCTATGTAATTTGCTAATAAAAGATACTTTATAATTTGTATTTATGTTCCTAAAGTTTTATTTGTAGCTTTTGTTTGAGAGATATTGTCCAAAAGCAAAAGTAATATGTCGGTATCGAAAATTTTTCTTTACGTTTTAGCTACGCTGAGAATTTGTTTTCTTTCCACACTCATATGCTGTAAGCGTATTGAGTTTATCCTTATTGTCTATCAAATATTAAGCAAAGACAAATGATGAAAAATTTAGAATTCTTATTTTTTAGATGATATATTTTCTATAATTAATACACATCTTTTTGATACATATAATTTTAAGAAACATACAGTCTATTTTATTCTTTATGAATAAATTGTGAATTACTTAGCAAGAAATGAATGTCAATTAAACGTAGAATCGACGTCGAATTGGTGTTGAAATCATCGTATCGATATCGATTCGACATCAATTCGATGACTCATTTCTCGCTAAATAATATTTATTTTTTAAAAATAAAGTTTAAAAAATATTTTCTCTGTATGAATACTTTTTGTACTCACTGTATGTTTTCTAAATCTAACATATTTACATTATAAATTTTCTAGAAATGTATATAAAACCAACTACTAGAAGTAGAGAGTCTTCTCTATATCAACTTTAGGAAAAGGAAATTGTATCTTTTCAAGTCAAATACGCACCGCTTCTATTTTATTTAGGGTGCGTTCCGTTTGTTCTCACACGTTATAAGCATCAGTTCACGTGTTCTTTGTTGTCTTGATCAAAAATATCAAACAAATGATGCTTACAAGCGCTGTAAAACGAATCGCATCCATAGTTTCCGATGTTGCTGGATTGAGTGTGCGGACACTAATGGGACATAGGATGTTGACACACCAGCGTTTCAGCTTCTCTTTCCATCATTAAGTATTATCAGGATCCGAGGAAAACAATGCGTGCAATTAGCGCAGAGAAAACCAAAAGATATAGGGCGGCAGTCATAATCCATTCTTATCTTATAAGATGTTAGAGGCTATTTTGGCTCATTACAGCTTAAGACTGTACTTAAGACGGTCTTAAATATAAAGTCCGATTATGAGTATCGCCTAATAGACTTGTTACCTGAGTCGAAATGACAACAACTTTCCTATTTCGATTGCCTTTTCCTCAGACCCTGATAATATGATGAAAATAGAAAGAACAAGGATGACCTGACGCTTAGTTTTGTGTGCGAGCGCCAAACAAAACGCCTAAATGAAACAGAATTCGTGCGTATTTGACTTAAGATATAATTTCTTTTTTTATCTTGTTTTGCTTGTAGACCAATAAGCGTTTACCATATGGAATGATTAGTAAATCGAAAATAGAAGATCTTTGTATTCCTTTGATATATTTAGAGCTCTTAGCGATAACGACCAGTCTTATTTCTTTCTATTCAGTTTTCTTTGTTGAATTAATGAAGCTGATGTTTAAGAAAGCATAAATACGGTAACATTTTGATAGGATGCTTGCGCTTTATGTTCTATGTACATTATGTTTTTTTGTGCAATTTCCCATTTATCGGTATTCCTTATAGTGATCATTTTTTCACAAAATATTATAAAAAAGAAGATGGGTTGTAAAAGGTCATATATCCAATATATTTTTATGAATTTAATAAAAGAGTTTTGAAACATCTATGAATTAGTCGAAAACTCGTATTGTTGAACACATCGTTACGAATGCGATCACAATTCGTGAGGTAATTTAGTTATTTCGATGGTATTAATTTTCAGTGCCGATGATGCTCGCGCAACTGGAATATTTTCTGAGAATTAGTCGTGAAGGAGCAAATAGCAAAAATAACTACGAAACGTCCTCGTCATCGTCGGTCGTTGTCGTCGTCTACTAAGCAGTATTTAGAGTTCCCCGTAGAGAGAGAAAGAGACGATTGTCGATCTATTTACGCGTTTCTGGGCGTCTCGGAATTTTGGATGGCGAAATTAAGCGGCAGTATCGTCGTGCAAATTAAATTCCAACGACCGGCACGTCGACCGGCCGTAGCTGGTCTTTTACCCGCGGCCGAATATAATTCACTATGCTTATCGATCGATCGTCGTCGATTTCGACCGGAATTCCCCGCTTCTCCAAGAGGAAGCTTCGTTGTGATTTAAGACGTTCATGATATACAAGATTATTGAATTAATATTCAATGTCTGTTATTTTGTTCGCGCAACAGTAATACCGGTTTGCTTCGACGATATAGCGTTATTAATTCGTATCAGACGACGATATAATCTTAGTTTAAGCAAATGATGTATAGGAATCTCATAATTACTTCGATATTTTTTTTATCTCGTTATAATTATTGTATAATACAAGATATAACATATTAATATATACTCATTTTTTAATAGGTCTGGAACATCTTTTACAATCGAACCAGTCTACGGCATCGACCAAAGTTCGCGTTTCTTTCTGGTGTCACTGGTGTCACGTAGCAGGACTTTATCTCCATGGTGAGTAATTTATCGAGTCTGCTTAAATCTTGATTTCCTGTTCATTTCTCACAATCGCCTTTTAGTGTCAACCACACAATTCCATAGAAATGTATGTATGTAACGTTGCGAAACAACACTATTGTATCCGTTTGTGGATTTAACGATTCTCCTTGGCGCGCGTATCGTTATTTTATTCAAAGCACTATTTCTTGCTAATAGTAATTATAGGAAAGTTTAATTATAAGAATAATACACGGAAAGAACGATGTTGCTGAAGTATTTAGCTAAAATTTTAACTAGATACAGATTTGGAAATAATTTTGAACCATCTAAATAATTACATGGCAATCTCAAGCATAATGAGCAATGCTGCAAAATGTTTTGACAGATTGCTGCAAATGTTTCTAGCAATCAATTTGAGTGTCCTATATAATTATTTTGATAGTCCAATAAAATTATTTGCAAACAACGATTTAGCAAAATGTGATTTATATCGTAAACTGTTTATTATATTATTTGTTACATTGACGAATAATGTGAAATGAACCGCAATAGTAACTGATCGACCGTTTTCCTACCACCACACTTTTTCTTTTAATAACAAACTCATTTCTCTCAATGTGAGCTACTTGAAATTGTCATTTTTATTATCAACAAAAAGTTCGCCTTTATCAGACCCTCTGATTTTCCTTCCCTAACACTTATGACATGGGGAACATTTATACGCTCCCTATGGGGATAGTATGAGTAGACGAACGAAAACATTTCCTTAACCATAAGCGACCGTGACGATTCGATTTTCAAAAGCCTGTCACATATGACGGGAACCAGACGAAGTTAGGCAACAAGTCGAAGATATGCAGGAAAGAAGAGGCTGGATAAGCAGGCCTCCGTCTTAGAACTCTTATTCCTCCTCTTTCCTGTCATCTTTTGTTACGTCCTGTAGCAAGTTGAAGGCAATTCCAACAACGACGAGGTCGCTGATACACTTCTTCCCCAATGCCTTCTTCCACATCATTTTTCATCCCGCGTTCAAACGTCGCTACATTCTAAATGATATATCACGAGCGTTTATATCGAATGTAGTTATTACAAGAATGAAAGACAGCAGTTAATAATGATGTAACTAGATTAGGCCGTGCACTTAGAGCAGCTAATTCTTGTCAAATTACTTATCAAATTACTTTCTTACAAACGCACACGAGATTATTGCCTTTTACGAAAATTTTGCATTAATTCAAAGAGTAAAATAAAACAATATGATTGGAAAATGGGACCTGTTTATAAATTAAAACTTTAAATACGAAGCGCCTTACCGTCCCGAGTTAAGATGTTGAATTAACATTCATTTAAATTGAATTAATTTTTCAGAAATAAATTGAGAGCCGATGCAATATTTTTCGCAATAAGTTTTTTAAGATTTGGGAAATTTTGAGGGGATTATCAGAACGATTGTGTGAATCCGATAATTTCATCGGCTCTCAATTTATTTCTGAAAAATTAATTCAATTTAAATGAATGTTAATTCAACATCTTAACACTCGGGACGGTAAGGCGCTTCGTATTGAAAGTTTTAAGTAAAATAAAATTTTATGAAGCTAGAAAATAATTTCTTAAAAGCAGTATACAGCAAAATCGATTGCCGATATAAGCTGCGTATAAATATTTAAATCTTTTGTAACATTCCATTCAGTGGACGAAAAAGTGGATAGACATGTTTTTCATAGAATATAAAATTATCATAAAACCAATAATTCAACACTATCGGATGACGGAGTCTACAATAAATATTTTAGACGGAATCACTTTCTAGATATTGTTTGATGTCGATTCAAACATCGGAAACATTAATTCTCAAGTTTTGCATTCGAACCGACTAGTTTTGGTTCGGATTTTCCCTGTCACTTCAGCGGCAATGACATATTAAAGAATGCTACTAAACACATCTTTTGGAACAAAATAAATAATCTAGCAAAAGACCTTGAATTTTTAAGATCCAAAGATTGCATCGTTTTAACTTTTAACTGATTATGTAATGAACTTTTTTTTTTCTATATTTTGTAAATAAGATCATGATTAAAGAAAATAATTACTAAATCAGTTTCAATTAAAAGTGCAAAGATTTAAAACGTTCTTACAAGGGTAGACTTAAAAATAATCGATTTCAATAAAACTTGGCAGATTTATAGACTATGTTCCTTTGAATATAATTATATCCCTATTTGGACATAGATGATCAATCGTTTTCAAAATATTCTAATATTAAATTTAGTAAGAATGGTGTTTTAAAAATTTATGTTTTATTTATTTGTATCAAAATTTTCATCTTAAAATTTGTAAAGGTAATAATTGGTAATGAAAATCTGTAATAAAAAATAATTAATTTTTTATATTAATTATTCCCATTATAAAACATTATTACTTTATTTACAGAAAAAATTAATTGCTACTGAGGTTCGAACTCGGATATAAGTTAAGAGGATGGTTTACCATATTCATTACGTTATAAATACTCGAGTATAAACGTTCTAATAGACTCTAATGAACTACCTACTAGCCGCTACTAATTTTATATTGAAATATCTCGGAAACGATAGACTGCCTATGTGCAAATGTGCGGATATGATTATTTAGGGAATATACTTTATAATTATATCAAGTTTTATTGAAATTAGTGAGGACTACTTCCCTTGTTAGACTTATGTCCGATGCTTCTTTATTTACTCGGCTTCGCTTACGATACGTGCTTAGAGTAATCGGGACAGGCGCATGCATCCCGTCAATTGTGTGTCGAAGAGCGATGACGAGACCTTTACTGGAATCCGGTCTCTTCCTCTCTCTTGGCCTCTCACCCATCAGCGTTGCATCGCGATCGAAGAGCGAAGGAAGGGCAGCCTCTTCTCGAGAGCGATTACGCCACCGTGAGGTTCTCTCGACCACACGGGCTGCGCCACACCACAGAAGCGCCTCGGAAGCTGAGAGGATGCACAAAGTAGAAAGGATGGAGAGTGGAGAACGCCGACGATGACGACGACGGCAGCGAGAAGGTGGGAAGAGAGCGCGGGGAAGCGTGTTCCAGACGTCGTCCCGGATGTGCAGCATCATTACACGGCATTCTTCAGTGATGCAGGCGTCCGGGATCTCTCTCTCTCTCTCTCTCTCTCTCTCTCTTTCTTTCTCCCTTTGCCCCTCTTTTGTGCGTTCTTCTTCGCACAACTTATACAGACGCAAAAACGCACGTAAGTAAACTGCGCGTAACTGCCCACGCGAAAAGGATGAAGAGATGAGGAAAGTATCGAGGATGGCTAGACCTGAGAGCAGACATGAAAGATGAAGGCGTGATAATTTAATTGTAATTAAGTATCATAGAAAAATTTGAAAGAAGATATCATATATATATAT